ATTTTAAAAATAATTTAAACAGAATTGTCACAAAGACCCAAACAAACCAAGGAACAAACCACACACATCCCATGCCACGTCAGTCACCAGGTGCTCTGGTGGAAAAGACTGAGGAACCGGGGTCAGACAGTGTTCAGGATGGGAGAAGAGGAGGTGCTAAGAGGAGGGAGGCCCAAGGAGCAGGTCCCACCACACAGAAGGGCGGGAGCCAGCCTCCATGGTCATGCATCTCTGGCCTTGTCGGGGTCTGTGTTCTCTGTCGGGCCTGTGGCCCATTCCCTCACAGAGCTGCCAGAGGAGCAGATGCTGCACTCATGAGAGCCTTTGCCAGGACCTGGCTCCTATTCCCTCTTACACAACAGGCTGAGAATCTACGGTCTTCTCACAGTGACTGTACCTTCAAGGCTCAAACCTGGGGTACCTCTACCATGGGCTCCCATGCTGAGTTTCCACTACACTCGGCTCACCAAGTGGGAACAGACCTACAAACGTCCCAGAATCTATGGCGTTGGGTGTTAGGGCTTGATCTAATGAGTTTGGTCTAAAATTTGCAACATTTATGGAAACTGGCAGAAATCATAAAACTGATCTTGCACATCTAAGAATAGCTGCTGCTAGAACTGATGATGGGCACAGGAAATAGATGTTACCTGGTTTCCATAAATTGTGAACAAATGTGGGTCACTTATTTGACTCAGTGCAGTAGTGCTCAAAACACAAGTAATGGCAAAAACCTTCCAGTTCCATGGAAGTGGCTTCTGTTTCTTCTGACCTCACTTCTTCAAAGAATAAGTGAATCTATGACACTATTCTAAATCTTGACTTAAAAACATTGCTCTGACAGTCAATATGGCACATATCCTAAAAATATTTGAACGTATTCCATTCATTCATATGGCACATTTGCACATGTGCATATAAGCATTATATGTGTATATGTGGGAGCTCTGGTAGCATAGTGCCTGAGGCACCTGACCGCTAACCAGAAGGCTGGCGGTTCAAACCCACCAGCCACTCCTCGGAAGGAAGGTTGGGCAATCTACTTCCGTAGTGATACTGCCTCGGAAACCCAAGGAGGGGTTGCTATGAGTCGGTCGACTGGACGGCACATAACAACAACAACATTGTATATCTGGTGGAAATGCATACATGCTGTTCAGTGATGCTGGTTACATTTCTCATATTGTGTCAACATTCTCATTATTTCTGTTCCAGTTGTGGCCTTCTCTAGTCTCACCTCCCTGCAACCTCCTCATCTACGCTTTAGAGTATTTGTTGATCACTTGCCCTCATAGAGATGACTTTCAAAAAGACTGAAGTACTCAAGGATGATATTCATCCTTTATGAGCAAACCTGCTATGTAGCTAAAAGGTCACTTGAGGGGATAATTTCAGCTCAAAGCTTAAACAATATCTCAGGGGAATAGTGTCAGGGAATCTTCCTATCTCAGCGAGTCCAGTAGGTATAGAGCTTTGAGAATTTGTAGTTCTTTTCTACAATTTTCTCCTTTTTATCAAGATCCATTTATTGTGGTTGTGATCAGAACACATGGTCATGGCAGCCAGGCACCATCTAGCTCTTCTGGTCGTGGGACAGAGGAGGTCATGGTTCATGTAGACAATTAGTGCCGCAGACCAGTTCCTTTTTTCTCTTTTGCTTCAGATGAGTAAGGACCAATAATTGATGGACACATGCAAGCTTTTAAGACCCAGGTACTACTCACCAGACTAGACTGTAGAACATGAACTTCATGAACCATATTATGTCAAGTGACTGAGCTGTCCCATGAGACTATGACCCTAAATCTCCAAACCACAAAAACTAATTCCATGAGGTAACTCATTATGACTAAGAAGTATCAGATTCTGTGACCCTCTATTTATTACATATACATATATGTTCATATACACATACAAGTATGTCCATACGTACATACATATACATGTTGTTGTTAGGTGCTGTTGAGTTGGTTCTCATTCACAGCAACACCATGTACAACAGAAGGAAACACTGTTCGGTCCCGCACCATCCTCACAATCATTGTTGCTTGAGCCCATTGTTCAGCCACTGTGTCAATCCGTCTCATTGAGGGTCTTCCTCTTTTTTGCTGACGCTCTATTTTACCAAGGATGATGTCCTTCTTCAGCGACTTGTCCCACCTGATGACATGACCAAAGTAAGAGAGAAAAAGTCTGGCCATTCTTGCTTCTAAGGAGCATTCCAGCTGTGCTTCTTCCAAGACAGATTTTTTCTTTCTTATAGCAGTCCATGGTATATTCAATATTCTTCACGAACACCATAATTCAAATGCATCAATTCTTCTTTGGTTTTCCTTAACCACTGTCCAACTTTCACATGCATATGAGGCAATTGGAAATACCATGGCTTGGATCGGACACAATTTAGCCTTCAAAGTGACATCTTTGCTCTTTAACATTATAAAGAGGTCTTTTGCAGCAGAGCAAAAGATTTGATTTCTTGACTGATGTTTCCATGGGCATTGATTGTGGAGCCAAGTAAAATGAAATCCTTGACAACTTCAATCTTTTCTGTGTTCATCATGATGTTGCTTATTGGTCCAGTTGTGAGGACTTTTGTTTTATGTTGAGGTATATATAATCCACACTGAAAGCTGTAGTCTTTAATCTTCATCAGTAAGTGTTTCAAGTCTTCTTCATCTTCGGTAAGCAAGATTGTGTCATCTGCAAATTGCAGGTGGTTATGTTAATGAGTCTTCTTCCAATTCTGATGCCTCATTCTTTTTCAGATAGCCCAGCTTCTTGAGATTATTTGTTCAGCACACAGACTGAATAGGTAATATATACATACATATACATACATGACAGTCCTTGTGGTGCAGTAGTTAAGTGCTCAGCTGCTAACCAAAAGTCAATGGTTTAAACCCACCAGCTGCTCCATGGGAGAAAGATGTAGCAGTTTGCTTTCATAAAGATTACAGCCTTGGAAACCCTATGGAGCAGTTCTACTCTGCCTTATAGGGTAGCCATGAGCTGACAGTGATGGGTTTAGATTGTTTTTTATATACACATATATGCATATCTAGGCATTTTCTTCCTATACTTTAATTCTACAAACTCATACAATATTGAAAGCCACATACACTCGTTAACTGGCAATGAGTTTTATTTTGTTCTAAGGACTATGGCAATGAGTAACCGATCTTACAAGATTACACAAAAATTCAAGGATTGCTCCAAAGAGAATCTTAGCCACCAAGTTCTTCAATGTCCTAACAAGCAGCCACCACCTTTCTTTCCTGAGTGCTGGGGGGCCCTGAGAAGGGGAGCAAGTATCAGAATAACTGAGTGGAGGGCAGCGAGGCGCTGGGTAAAGCTCTTCTGGGGCATTATGACTCTCAGCTCATTAACTCTTGTAAGAAACATGCAAGGGAAGCAATGCCTGTGAGGTCAAGGGAGCGCGTTTCAGCCAAGAAGGATCACCTTCTGTCCTTCAGGACTTTTAGGTGCTGGCCCTTCAAAAGTTCGCGCTTCAAACCTAGTTTCCAAGACAACTCTGGCCCCATGCTAGCCCTGCAAGTTCAGCCAGGCTCACCTGGCCAGGACACAGAACTGTGCTTCCTCCCTTTCTGTTCTCTGCAGCCTCTGCTCACGAAGGTGACTGAGAAGGACGGGCACCAGAACCCTGTACTGGGCTGGGCTGTCCCTAAGAGCTGTGGAGGAAGCCATTACCGCTGCTCCCTTGCCCTGAGAGTCTGCCCATCTAGGACCCAGCACATGGCCAAGTGCTGGCACGTGTCTGCTGCAGGGAAGAACAATCGCACATTCATGAATCATCCCTCTTTTGTACTTCTGCTTGGAAGAATATAATTTGCTAATTTATGGTAGTTGTTATGGCTCAATTAAAGATGCCAACACAGAAAAGGCTGGCTGAGCTTGGCCCTGCAACACGCCAAACCCAGGTAAATACAATCGTGTTTCCACATACTGAGGTCCGCCAGTGGTCTCCCACAAGGCTGAACATCACACAATTAGCCTTGGCACAAAAGGAGGACACAGATGGACATTTTGGTGGATAATAGGCATGTTGCCCAGCCAAATTTGCCTTTCACCACTGCACTGAGAGTGCAGCCGGGGAAGGCTCAGTTGGGGTCCTGCAGATAGACCTTGAGGAACAGCCACTATTTCTGAAGCAGCAATATACATATGCCAGGAAATCAACAACCATCATTTGCTAGGAAACTGTCTAATGGGTTCTCATTGCTAGAATGCCTGAATCCGGGATTTGCATTTGGGATTCCTGTCTATGTAGAAGCAGAGCCGAGCCATGTGACTGCCATGGGAGACAGGGGAGGGGCAATTTTATCTACTTTCCAGGGTAGGTCCCAGTTCAGTGGTTGCTGCTACCTGCCTCTTTCTGTGGGTTACCAGGAGTGCCATCAGAGAGGGGATTGGGGGCACCACCAGGCTGCCTCTTCCTGGCTTTGGTTAAAGCATTTGTGCCATCAGTCACCCCATCCCCTCTTCCAGGGTCTGTAAGACTTCACTGCCAGGAAAGGCCAGGCATTGTGCACATCAGTCCATGAGACAGATGTTGTTCTTAACCCCACCTTACTGAGACCGTGAGATGAAGATATCAATTCAAGTCTACACAGCTGGTAAGTGGTACAGCTGAGACTTGGTGCCAAGTCTGTGCAGCTGCTGAGTCTGAAACAGCAGAGCTCTCTGGCCCTGCTGCACCCATACAGCACGTTCCCTGGGGTCCTCAGAGCCCAGTTCAGCATATCTCCTCCAGGTCTGCTCCATGCCAACTCTGGGCTGGGGTACTGAGGGAGGCAAGGGGTGGGGAGGTACTCTAACTCATGGTTCCTGGAACATGGTGTGTGGTGTAGAAGTTTCTCCTTCTCTTGAGGAAGATTCCTGGGCTGCCTACAGGATCCTGCAGCCTTGGGCCCAGGCCAGGTTGTGGGGTGAAGCAAGTGGGGTGGGATAGAAGAGCCCACAGTGGGCGCAGATGGTACCTGCATGGAGCCAGATCTGTGCCAGTGTCATCCAGGGGTGTAGTGGACCCTGCTTGGGGGCGCTGCTCTGCAGAGATGAGGCCACTTCCGATAGGGCCTGCTCCACTCTTGAGGCAGCTACAGACGTGGCGTGGATGGAGCCTGTGAGAGGGTGTCAAGAAGACGGCATCAGGACTGAAAGGATGGACCCAAACAACCAGCCAACGAAGCCCTCCCCATACACAGACATGAGTGCAGGACGAACACACACACCTCACCCATGGTGGTCCAAGCTTTTATTGTCCATAGAGACACAAGGACCATCATTACAGCCTGGATCCTTGATTTCTGTCCTTTGGCTTTAGCTAATCTTTTAGACAACCACAGAGCACACGCTATGCTAAGTGCTCCATGTAGGAGCCCAGCCTCCTACAATGCATGTTGGGGGTGGGGCAGTGGGATACGGCTAGAGATACAGCTAACACACAAGTGCTCAAACAAGTTTTACAAAGAGAAGTTACAAGGCACCTCTGCTGTCAGGGCCCAAACCTAGAAACTAGATGAAGGGGGATTAAAACTGCCCCCTGGAATTTGGCTAGGACTTGGAGAAGAAGGGCTGCCACCCTGAAGAGAAACCCAGCTACTTCCTGTGGCATTAATGCAGCCTTAGACAGGTGGGCACCATCCCAGATCTGAAACACATTCTAGGACACGACTTAACAACTAGAAAAAGCACCCTTTTGCCCAGCTGTCTATTAAGGAGAGTACAAATACAAGACCACTGCAGCATGGGCTATAGCAAAGACACCTGGGGTTCAGGATAACTACCTGCCTAAGGATGTAAAACCTGCTGTGCTGAGAGGCTAATGAAGGGACCACCCGGGGCACATTCACCAGTCAAAGGGATCTGGTGACAGAGTGTCTGTTCAGAAGTCAAAATGACTCATTTCTCTGCATGGTGGCCTTCTAAATGTCCTGATGATCAGAGATCACTTTGCACAGGGCTCGTTCCCAACTTCCTTCCAACATTCCGTCTTGGTTTCAGAGAGCAGATTCTCAGTTATTTCAAATTTGAAAGTATTAATTTCATATCCATTTGCAACATTCTTGACTTATAAGCCATCACAAATTTTAATAGGAGATAAACATTCCCACATTCTTAGTAGCAACTCTATCATCTCATCACACAGTTGAAAACAGTGATAGGCTATAATGCTGACCACTCAGATATGTCCAGTTACACTCTCGACAGTGCAAAACTGTGGGCACAAAAATTGTCGGGCTGTGGAATACACCCTTGGAATACCTATCCAAGGTAATATGGATGGGGTTTGGAAGGGTGACTTATGGGAGGTGGCTGGGATCCCAACTGTGACTCCACCTCTTGTGGGTAATCTACAAACAGCGCCCACAAGGGCGACCGAGGGCAACGGCCTCTAGTATAGGCCAGTGAGCTCCTCACTTGAGTCCTCCACAAGAACATGGAGCTTGAGGCTCAGTTAAAAGTTACTAGTAGACGTGGCACTATGAAGCAGGGCAACCTAGAGGTTTGGCTAAGAACTTACTCTTGTTTAGACAGAAAACAGGTAAGTACTATTTTTTACTTCAACATAAAATGATAAAACTGTTGCAGGTTTTTTCAGTCTTGTTTTGTTTTTAACACTTCTTCTAACCTTGCTAACAAGGACTTGATGGCGTGTCTCTGAGATTTCAACTAGACGCTTACTGCTTCTGTCATTACCAAGCTGGATTCTTGATTCATTGACTATGTTAAAGAGTGGTGCTCAACCTTGGTTCACAACACAATCACTGGGGGTTTTAAAAATCAAGTCCAGACCAATGGGATCTCTAGCTCTAGGAGTGGAGTCTGAGCATCTATTTTTTAAATCACTGCAGCTTGAGACCACTGGCCTGGAAGGACAGGAAGCAGCTGTCACCAACACTTGGTCAAGAAAAGCCTGAAGGTGTTGGCTACACGTGCCAGCCCGTCTCAGCTCCCCGACTTCCTTGCAGTCCAGCGGTCATCTGGGTAACAGAGTTCCAGGAAGGTCTAAGGTCTGGTTCCCCAGAACAGTGGGGCTTGAACTGCTTAGTCTCTTAAAGACTATCGAGGACCCCAAAGAGATTTTGTCTATGTGGGTTATGTTGATATCTGGCATATTAGATATTAAAACTGAGTCAGGTTTAAAATATTTACTAATTAATTCATTTTAAAATGACAGCAATCAGCTACTATTTTAGAAAATTTCTACAAATGTTCTACTAGGTTCTGAGACTTTTAGAGGGGCTCATTTTGGTTTTTGGATTAACTGGCTCTGTTAATTGGTTTATTTGTTTTTGGCCCACAAATGAACTAATCATAACTATTACCAAAGTTTCTTCTCTTTATATATATATCACACACATGTATATATATACACACATGTATATACATGTATATAAGACACATGTGTCTTACGTGTATATATATGTATATAGACACATACACATGTCCATTCATACATACACACATATATCAACTAAATTAATTGATTCTAGCATAATAATATTTTACTGTGAACTTTTTTTTCTGTGTGTCTGCCATCGAGTCGATTCCGACTCATAGCGAGCCCTCCTTGGGTTGCCGAGGCAGTATCACTATGGAAGTAGATTGCCCAACCTTCCTTCCGAGGAGTGGCTGGTGGGTTTGAACCGCCAGCCTTTTGGTTAGCAGTCAAATGCCTTAGACACTATGCCACCAGAGCTCCCACCTGCTCTGAACTAGGCCTGACAAATGATGATGCATGATGACAATGGTGACGGTAGCAGTTATCCATTCTAGAGAACAAGCTATGGTCCGGGCACTGTGATGAGCACCTTACATACATCACCTCATTGAATTCTTAATCCTGTGGGGCAGGTACCAATGTCATCTGCATTGGTTAGATGACACAATTGAGATGGAAGGAGGTTCTGCAACTTACTCAAAGTCACACAGCCCATAGACTCTAACACTACTCTGACTCCAAATCCAGCCTCTAAACCACCTCTAGGAAGACTGTGGTGACCCTTCCGTTTCTCTCTACTGCTCCCCTGCAGTGAGTTAGGCTCAGTTCCTCAGCGTGCCCATTAACATGTGGGTGTATGGTTATCAGAGTGATTTATGTTACAGTTGAGGCAACCATCTTCCCTACATACTGCGTGCTTCTAGAAGACAGAAAGCACGGCCTTGGTGTCAGTATTTTCAGGGGCTAGCAGAACCCCCAGTAGAAGCTCAGTGAATGCTTGCTGCTGAATGAACGCGTACTGGATGAAATTCAGAGACTGCTCCCGCCTCGTCTGGAGGCCTGTGTTCTGCTCCGAGGCCAGCACCTCCACTGTCTCCAAGGTTGTGCAGTGTCACTATCACCACCTCTAACAATCTGGACCACAAATGACAGCGGCACAGAGTGGCGGGTAAACACTGGGCCTTCTCCAGCGTAACCCATTAAAATGGGGAGAAGGGTAACTGGGCTTGCGAAAACCAGGGCTCCCTTCTTAGTCAGATCCTTTCTACAAAGCTTTCAGGAGGGCAGAGGAACGAGGGAGCGGATATTAGAGCATCTGGATATAATAGCAGTTAAGTGATAACACGAGTAAAATGGCTCCTATTCCTGGCAATAACACACTGAATAAAATTCTTGTGCTGGATTCAAATTTGGGGGAAAATGAGGATAAACAACATTATGAATCTGATTGGATATACCTGATTTAAAAAACTAGCCCAGACCACCTCTGCCCATTTCACAGGCTGAAACGCCAAGGGCACAGACATCCTGAATTTTGACTGATGCAGGTGAACGGCTAGAAATGCTAGTGTCAACCGACCTATTTCTTGAGCGACCCTTTCTCTGGCTTCACTAAAGCAAACGTGTCCCTGCAGTGTCCATGGGGACAAGGAGGGTAGTAGTCCGAGCTGGGAATGCACAAATTGTGGCCTGGAAAGAGGGTCAGAAGAAGGAACCTAGGTGATATTTCCACTTTGAAATACAAGCCTGAAGAAAGGCCTTTCCGGTAATCAGGTTCCACGGCCATGCCTGGTCACCCTGCATCTCTTATTTATCACACTAACTTCAGTTGTGCTTATCACTGGCCCCTCCCAGAGGGAGAGATAAGGGCTTCTTCCCCTCTGCCTCAGGCTCTGACCAGATCAAGCTGCAAAACCAAGTGAGCTGAGAGCTGAGTGGGCGGGAGAGAGTACCCCCCGACTCCCCCGAGGCCCGTCCCGGTTCTCGACCAAGTTGCCTGACCTGGCCTGGGAGGTGCAAGGGGCTCTGGAGCTACGGATATCTGTCTTTCCTGAAGCTGATGGCTTTCTTTTCCCTCCCCACCTGGAGCCCCCAGACAGAAAGGCCAAGTGCCACTGAAGCACCGTTCTGATCCCCAGTGCTCTCCAAGACAGCTGGGGTTTTCACCTGGACTCCCGCTGGGACCAGCACCTGTGGGGACAGTGTGGGGGAAGGCAGCAGAGAGAACCCAGGAAGTGCTGTGGACAAGCATTTCTCCACAGACCGAGAAGACCAGGAGCCAAGGTCACTGAGCTCAAGGTCACTGTGAGTCCAAGCTCAGAGCTCTTCCTAAGGCCTTCTGACCCATGCTCCCACCATGTGCAGAAGCCACTGAGAAACCTGCCCCAAGTGGGACACTGGTAACTGCAAGCTCACGCTGCCTTTGCAGTTGATGCCATTCCAAAAAGTCATCTTTTCAATACCCACTACACCTATGTCAAATTCACAGACTTCAAGTGGGGCAATCACATTGCCCACGTTCATTATTCCAAGGGCTCCCAGAGTCAATGATTTTGTTAAGTGAAAGGTACAGTCAGATGGCTCACTTGTGTTTGGTGACCCTGCCTTTTCACAATCAGGGTCACTGAATGCATGGCTTATATTTACATTCCAGCTGCCCTTCTGACTGTTCTGGTGGCACTAAGTCTGAAGGACCCCCCACCTCTCCCCTCCCCTCCCCTCTTCTTCACAGCATGTAGAAGACGTCCTAGATCACACATGAAACCCTGCCAACTAGTGACTTGGTGAGCATCACAGCGTCAGGAACGATGAACAACCGAGCCCCAGAACGTGGCATTGTTGTTGTTGTTATGTGCCATCGAGTCAGCCCCGACTCATAGCGACCCCTCCTTGGGT